ACGCCATCATCCGCTGGCTCTTGGCCTTGGTCAACGTCACTGCTGGTGTAGTCCCTCTACTCCTCATGATTGTGGTACACGTCCATCTGAGTACTCTGCTTATTACTCCGTCGATCAGTGAGTACAGCAGGCTCGCTTTCCACATCCTCTTCGGTCGTGATCTCAGCTCGTGCAATGTCAGATTGGTACCTAGTCGTATAAGGTGCACTGGAGGCGTATGCAGCTTCACTCAGGGAAGTGTTTCTATCCAGTGCTCTCTTACCAGGTGTAATTCAATCTAGTGTAACTCTAAATCAATGGCATAACACTGTTTATTCGTCCGGAGTCATTCCCGCATCTGAATTTGTGCAAGGCCGGGTAGAAAGAGGCCAGCCTACGGTTAGCGTTTGGTGCGGTAGCAATACGTAGGGGTGATCGACACTCCGAGAAGGGTGTTGAGGTTTTATCATTCGTTCGATGGATTTATTACGTTTCTCTATCACTTCCCATCTCCGTCATGAATCCTACCATATAGTAGCTTCAACTACGCAACACTCCGAGGGCTCAATGGCTCACATATCTCCTCTGACAGGCTCGTGTTCAGTTTAATAGTCGTTCGGGTTGGAGAAGTTCTTCAGGAAATTGTATACTCAACTCGCGTATCTTATGGCAGGCTGCTGTACAGCTACATCTAAGCTTCTGAACTACTTCGTGATGGTCGTACTCTTTCTTGTTGGCGCCCTCGTCATCGTGGTTGCGTCACTCGTACTGGCATCCGATTTCCGCACACTAGTTCGTAACTGGTGGTTGTGGGTCGCTGTTGCTGCCGGTATAGTCATCATTATTGTCTCTTGCTTGGGCTGCGGTGCCACTAGAAAGCAGAATCGCTTCTTCTTGACCCTCTTCCTCATCGTAGCGGGGATCGTATTCGCTTTGCTCTGTGTAGCAGCGATAGCCTCCTCGATCTACATCGGTGATGTCAACGCCATCGCGAGGATGAACTTTGCTGAGCTCAACGAGGTCTCGGGTTCTGAAAAACAGTCATATGATTTCATACGAGAATCC